CCTGGCACAGGAGCGGGGCAAATAGCACGGGCTATGGTGAGCCCGTAGTGGACTTTCCTGGCACAAGAGCGGGGCAAGTAGCACGGGCTATGGTGAGCCCGTAATGGACTTTCCTGGCACAAGAGCGGGGCAAGTAGCACGGGCTATGGTGAGCCCGTAATGGACTTTCCTGGCACAAGAGCGGGGCCAATCCACTACATAGTGGTACGGGTTTTTGGTCACTGAAGCGCTTTTAATTCAGTGCATCATCCATTGCCAATTGACATATAAATATATTTATCATAAGACAAACAGGTCGTTACCCTTGCCAACATTAATTTAGGTAGTGGGTAGTTTATAATAATATAGGCCTTGATGTAGATGGGTAAGACATTGTTCTTGTTGTTTTTCCCTCGTTAAGGGTGTGCAACCCTAACCTATACCTATAATAGGTTAAGTAATAATTGTAATTACGAAGCAATAAGATGCTTATCTTAACATACTAAGAAGGTTAGGTAAGGTCGGTGTTTTCTATGAAGCTTTTTAAGGTAAACTAGTATGTTTAGTATGTCACATATGCACGTATTTAATAAGTCAATATTGACTATACGAAAGTGCGAGAACGGGTTGGGGTGTGAGGTCGGCAAACCAGTCTGGGGCAGGTTTGTGCCCTAAAGATACAACCAGTATCACTTTGCTAACTGACGGATTACTAGAAAGTTAATTGTTATATTTATAGCTTCGAATACACTTTAGATTATATTTCTTCATTTTAATCTTATTACAATTTTAAGTTGAGAAATGAATATCGATGAATATTTTAGGTATTAATTAAATAGTATAGTTAATTTGTCCTTCCGTGTAAGCATGTTCACAGTCTTCCTCTGCCGGAACAAATATATAAATGCGATAGGCAGTATGCCCAATATTTGCTACTGAATACTAGTAAGTTTAGGTAGCTGGGGTATACAGCAGACCCTAACAGACTCCAGGTTCATCTTCAGACGCCTGCTAGTCCACGTGCTTACATATGGGTAAACCTTCTTCATTCATAAATAATGTTGGCGTTATAATATGGACATTAATGAGAGAACCAATGGGGCTGAGAGGCGGCTCGAACCCGCGACCAAAGCATTGCCAGCCGCATACTCAATCACTGTACCATCGGAACGTTTTACTTAACACCGGATTTGATCCTTAGTGATAATTTAGCGCCTTTTGAATATCCCACAACCTGTATGTGCTACATCGTCTACCCGGCTTGGCGCCTTCTTTGGATAATTACCTACTTAGTCTCGTGATTGTTGCCCTTCACTCAGCCTCGCCACTGAGTGGCCTCATGGAGACACTTCCGGTCAACGACACAGTGGCCCGGGCCATCTAGCGGTGACAAACGACCTTGCCAGCCAGTCTCCCAGAAATTAAACAAATTAGCCAGGCGCCAGGAAGCGTTCGCTCACAGGCTAGAAACAACAAACACGGTCACGAAGACAAAACACTTCTGCCGACCCTTAATACACACACACACATCGCCCGCAAGTGTTTTTTGAAGCCCTAATTAAAAACGCTCTAAAAAAAGCCAAATTGATCCACTTCCCTCTCTCGTGCCGCGACTAAAGCAATACTGCTAATTTTACTACTCGACTGACAAAGGCTTCGGCTCGCCCATTGTACACAAATACAGAAACGTGGAAAAAGGAGATGTTTCACTCTGTTTTCAATTGCAAAAATGGAGTGGATGGCGAGAGCGTTCAAGTACCCGCCCGGCGACTGTCAGTGCGGAGAGTTCAAGTACCCGCTCTACCCTCCCACACCCTCTCTCTCTCTCCCCTCCCTCCCTTAGTATCTCACACACACACACACACACACACACACACACACACACACACACACACACACACACACACACACACACACACACACACACACACACACACACACACACACACACACACACACACACACACACACACACACACACACACACTCTCACTCTCACTCTCACTCTCTCTCTCTCTCTCTCTCTCTCTCTCTCTCTCTCTCTCTCTCTCTCTCTCTCTCTCTCTCTCTCTCTCTCTCTCTCTCTCTCTCTCTCTCTCTCTCTCTCTCTCTCTCTCTCTCGTGTGTGTGTGTGTGTATACATCTCAAACGAGAGAGGTTCCAGGACGTTGAGGCACTCCACTTACACCGGTTCCCTACTCTGACTTAACTCCTTTTATACCAACTGTTTAAATTGATGTAACTCTGCCCTCGTCCAACTTAAGGCAGCATCCCCCAGTACCACGAGCCTCTACCTCACTATTCAGTCTTTAGTGTGGCACAGTATTAAAAGTTTTGCTAAAGTCAAGGTACACATCACAATTCTTTCCACTAATCAACTGTTTCAGTTATTGTGGAATAGATTAAAAGAAAATTTGTCTAACATGAGCGGCCTTTGTGTAAAACCATGTTGACTAGCCTTGCTTTTTGCGATTATTGATTCAAATCATTTTCCAATAATAATTTTTGGCAAATTGTCAAATAGTTCGATGCAAGTGATCAATTTCCCTTCTTAAAAACTGGCACAAAATTTGAAACTCTCAGCCCTTACGATACTTTACTCAATTGTAATGATCTATTTAATATTAGAATCAAGGGCTCAATTAGCTCTTCCTTACATTCTTTTAGGACCCTGACGAAGATCTTGTCTGGTCTAGAGGATTTGTTTGGTTTTGATTTGTCTATCTGTTTAATTACTTCGTTTCTGATAATGTCGAAATCATTCAACTTGCCGTCATCACCATCTACATAGATTTGTTCAGGTGTAGGTTAAATACCAAGTTCTTCTCTAGTAATTACAGAGGTAAATTACTTATATAGTATGCTACCTATTTCTGTGTCATTAGTACTTACATGACCTAACTCATTTTTCAAAGGACTTGTTTATATAATTATAAATATAAAATATGTAAATATATAATAAAAATTGTAGTTTGTAAATGAGTCACGTAGAGCAGAAAATTCGCTTGAGTTTCGTACACAATGAAGGGAACAAAGTGGGGAAACAACGACTTCCAATTATTTTCCCGGTTCCGGAGGGAAAAAATGGTCGATGGAAAACAAAGCTTGAGTCGAGGTTCCCAAAAAAACACCCGAAAAAGCCTCGAGTTTTTTTTAGAGCGAGGAAATACGATATAAAAATTGAATTGACATTTGGGAGGGTAAAAATGGCACACTTTTAGGAATCAAAGAGTTGAGTGGGGGTGTATAGGCCAGTGTTGCTCTCAACTGTACCATAAGTGGTACAGGAGGCCCGGTGCGCCTCCCCTATAACCTCGGCCCTTCCCTTCCCTTCCCTTCCCTTCCCTTCCCTTCCCTTCCCTTCCCTTCCCTTCCCTTCCCTTCTCTCCCTTCCCTTCCCTTCCCTTCCCTTCCCTTCCCTTCCCTTCCCTTCTCTCCCTTCCGTACCTCCAACTATACCTTCTCTCCCTCCAACACGTCACCCCCTCTCTTCCTTCTTTCAATCCTTCCCACACACTCCTCCCTTCCCTCCCACTCTCCCTTCCCTCCGACACTCCCTTCCCTCCCACACTCCCTTCCCTCCGACACTCCCTTCCCTCCCACCTTGCCTCCTCGAGCTCATAAACATAATATCATCAGCTGCGTATGTGAACCTTACATGTAGTGCAGAGCTTCCATGAACGTGGTGGAGGCTACTTTCAAAACATCGCACATTCCTGCGTGAGACAAGTGTTGTTCATGCTGCTATGGCGGTGTGTCCACTCACAAGATGAGTGGCGCTGCCCAATAAACTCGCCCCTCGGGGCAAAATTAAAAAATTTAAGTACTAGAGTATGCAGCACTGGCGTGGAGCTCTCGCCTCATTATGTCCAGAGGTTCTCTGCAGGATTTGTCCAAAATTTGAGAGTACTAAGTTGCTAAGACAGAAAACTGAACCTTGAGCAGAGAAGACATAATTGTTACGTACAAAATACATTGGCAAAGTTAACCAACTGTTTACAGTGAGTAACAATACGAGATGTGTGAGAAATAAGATCATAAAATGAAACAAAGGTTTGTAATGAAACACTTCTTCAGTGGGGCGGGATAGGAGGGAAGGAAAGACGACCTCAATGTATAATATACATATGGGGGGGGAGGGAACAAGAGGGTCGTTACATTATAACAGTTGACCTACAGCTAGGGAGGCAGGGCCCAGTAGCTCTAGTTCACACTACAAGCACATTCAAAGTAATATGTGATATGTACACGCACACACACAATCACTCACATAAGTGCACACATACATACACAAGAACACATACACAAGCTCTCATACACAAGCACACATACACAAGCTCTCGTACACGTGCACTCCTACACACACAAGCACACGCCTCCATCAAGGCCCACACACGTGACTTACAAGGACGACCAGAACAGAGGGGAGCTGTGGTACCCTGTAAGTGGATCTTGCCACACGCAAGAGGATAGGAGCGAGGCGAGGGAAGACCCACACAGCTACCACACAGCGGTACACTTGGATTATTCTTCAACGCTGCGCGAACGTAGAAGGTCTACCGGTCACACACATACAAAAATGTAAATAATCATCTTGTATAAATTCTGTTTATGGTAAAATCTCTCCCGAGCTGTTGTCAGGCGTCCTGGCACTCTCGAATTCTTCTCCGCGGACGCACACAAGAACTGCGAACGGGCACTTAGGAGGCACTGGCACTCTCCCAGGGTGTTGTATTACCACATCTTCCTAGTGACGACACTAGGAAAACCCGTGACCAACAAAGCTCAAGGTTTCCACATACACATGTTGTTGACATTTCTATATCCATGCGATGACAGGTTGCAAGAGTCACAAGATAGACCCAACATCTGAGACGTGTTTGCCAACTGAATTAAATGATGTGCTTGGCTATGGTGGACACTGTGTGTGTGTGTCTGTGCGTGTGTGTGTGTGTGTGTGTGTGTGTGTATGTATGTGTGTGTGTGTGTGTGTGGGGCAGTCCATGGAGGGAGGGATATAAGTGAGGCGGCGGCGCGGGTGTGACTACCACAGGTCGAGGATGATAGCACTGAAGAGCTTGTGTGTGGCCGCCACGCTGCTACTGGTGGCCCCGAGTGCCTCCAGCGGGACTGAGGCCCTCGAGGAGCGCGAGTGTGAGGAACACCCTGTCAACAAGGACGTGGTGCAGCAGCTGGTGGCGTACACTGGCGCCACTCTCAGCCTGGTGCAGGATATCAAGGCTTCCTTCACTCCTCACTCACCCCACCTGCCACTGGCTGACGGGTGTGTGCGCCGGGACCTGCTGGCGGAACTACTGCTGGCGCTCTTCAACAAGCTGGAGGCGGAGCAGACGAGGCACTCCCTAGAGCTTGAGAGACTCAGCCAGCAGGTGAGCACCGCAGGTGGGTCACGCCAGGTGGTGGATAAGATCTTACAGTCCCGCCAACACCAGCTGCCCCTCTCCCCGCAGCTCCAACTGCTGCAATCAGCACAGCCACTCCAGGTCACATCAGCACAGCCACTCCAGGTCACATCAGCACAGCCACTCCAGGTCACATCAGCACAGCCACTCCAGGTCACATCAGCACAGCCACTCCAGGTCACATCAGCACAACCACTCCAGGTCAAATCACATCGCCGGGACTCGAACTGCAACTCTTCTGCTGACCGGTGAGTAAGACTCAGAAACGCCCTCGAAATATGTATTAAAATCTCCATGAATATGTATACAATATTCTTAGCACTAATTACTCCCCCTCCCCCCCCACCCTCTCCCTCCCCCGGGTGCCAGTCTTACCTGTCACGCTGGCATTTAATTACCCACAAGTTCCTAGCTGAAGATTCTACCTGTCCTTAAAATTAAGGTAATTGTTAACAATGAAACTAAGATGGGATTACAGGTTGTTAGATGACCAAGTGAGGTGACGAGTGTTGTCTCTTGGACAGGCCTGTCGACTGTCACGACCTGCTGCAGGCTGGCTACAACCAGAGTGGAGTCTACCAGCTGTATCCCTACAGGTTAGTGTCCACCAGCTGTATCCCTACAGGTCAGTGTCCACCAGCTGTTCCTCTACAGGTCAGTGTCCACCAGCTGTTCTCCTACAGGTCAGTGTCCACTAGCTGTTCCTCTACAGGTCAGTGTCCACCAGCTGTTTCCCTACAGGTCAATGTCCACCAGCTGTGGTCACTGGTGGTCACATATCTACATTTGAAACTGTGTATGGAGTCTGCTTACACCACATCACTTTCTAATGCAATGTCCCCTTGTGTGTATGCCGTTTGTGTTAATTAGACCGTCTTTATCAATCCTATCAATTCCTCTGAGAATCTTGTATGTGGTGATCATGTCTCCCCTAACTCTTGTCTTTTAACGAGGTGAGGTTTAGTTCCCGTAGTCTCTCCTCGTAGCTCATATCTATACCATACCTCGTAGCTGTGGATGGCTCAATGTGTACTAGGGGGCATACCTTGCCGGGCTGACGTCGATGAAGTGTACTGTTACTCTAACCACCTGATTCGCTTGTTTGACACCTCAAAAATATCTTTATAGCTCCCGAGACCCTGTTCATGCTGTTGAAGGAAATGTTCATCAGTGTTCATAATTTTTATTCTAATGTTTTAAAACTGCTTAAATAGATAAGAGCTGTTGCAATATTTTTTTTTTCAGATGTGAGCGGGATGAGGAGGAGGTGAGGGCGTGGTGCGACCTGGAGGGCGAGAGGGGCGGGTGGACGGTGGTCCTGGCTCGCCGCAAGGTGCCTGAGCAAGTCAACTTCAACCGTGGGTGGCGAGAATACAGGGAGGGCTTCGGCGACCCACAAACTGAGTATTGGATAGGTGAGTATACGGCACTGGCTAGGACCCCCAAGTGTGAGGACTACCTACATTGTGTAACCTGTAGAAAATCGTGGTGCGTGGGTACGGCGCGCGTCTGTGTTGATTCGGGGGGGACACTGGTTCAATCCCGCCTCGCAGCTCTAAATGTAGTTTGTCTGCTCATCTAGATACGCTGCCCGCAAGGCCTGCCCCGCACGGTAGCCTACACACCACTCTCAAATACTTTCATTGTGGATGCAGACAATGAAAGCTGGTATTTCATAAGTTTTTAGCTAGGACAGAACTTAATGGAAAACACATTAACACATGTTGGACGTGGCTGCTCTCACGTCAGGCTGAGAGCAGCCGCGCCCAACAGCCTGGTTGACCAATCCAGCAACCAGGAGGCCTGGTCGACGACCGGGCCGCGGGGACACTAAGCCCCGGAAGCACCTCAAGGTATGTACAAACATTACAGCCCCTCCGGGTACACATTACAACCACCATTTGTCCGCCTGTCAATCTCAGCCTGCTAATCATCTCAGCCCTGACAAATTACTACTTACGAGTGTGTCTTTATTCTCTGCTAATACTTCTCGAGATCACAACTGCTCAGACTATTGGTTCTATCCTTCTTGCACACGCACTCAGCGCTGACTTACGGAAAGTGGAATTGAACGTGCTCACTTGCTAGCGTCAGCAAACAGAGCCCCAGCCACTCGGGCAAGGTAGGGCCACTGCGTGACGTCACAGGACACGCCTAATTGCCTTATTCAGGTCACATGATATTGTGATGATGGAAATTACCTCATTAAGCTGTATTAAGTGCCATCTTATTTGCCCAGTAAAATGAACTCTTACAAGAATATAAAGTGGAGGAGGGAGAAGGGAATAAAATTATATGTGTGGAGGGAGTAGTAACCTTGACGTGTGTGTGTCAGGTAACAGGGTGCTGCACGAGCTGACCTCCAGGCGACCCCAGGTGCTGAGGGTGGAGCTCGAGGACTGGGATGAGCAGTCGAGGTGGGCCGAGTACCAAAGCTTCTTGGTGGAGGAGGAGGACAGCCTCTTCCGCATTCACCTCTCTCAGTACACTGGCAACGCCGGAGACGCCATGAAGTCCCACGACAACATGTACTTCACCACCTCTGACAGGGACAACGATAGCCATAGTAAGTAAGGCCACTACTAGTATTATTGTCCTTTTAGGGACTTGTAGCTGGACGATACCTTCACATCTCTTTTCTCACTGACTTGAAAGAAATCACTTGGTATGCCAAATTTATAAGGTGTGTATATATATATATATATATATATATATATATATATATATATATATATATATATATATATATATATATATATATATAACATTATATAACATATATAACATATATTAACATTAAAATATATAACATTTTGACTGCTCCTTTGGAAGGTCGCGTCTTTCCACAAAGGAGACTTTTTGACCTTGTAGAGTGATAGTTGTTCCCATTTTAGTGCGTTCCTCCTTCCCCAACCCCTTCCCATAGAGTGTGTGCCCCAACTCTGCCTTATGTAAGCCTGGCACGTTTCCTGTCGAAACAAATTTTATTTGACTTGAATTTGTGTCATCATTGGGTTAGAAGACTGAGGATGTCTCCCTCGATCATTTTAGTGGACATTTTGGTAGTAATACACCTTAAACTTGAGTTTCAGGTTCAACGAACTGCGCTGTTAGCTACCATGGTGGTTTTTGGTACCACGGGTGTCACACCGCCAGTCCCACCAGCCTCTTCCTGGAGAAGCAGAAGAGTACCAAAGGTCTTACCTGGAATACCTGGTACTCAGACAGGACCACCCTGAAGGCAGTCACCTTCAAGATCAGACCCAAGACTTGTTCCACGTGATCTCCGGCCTCGGGTCAGTTGACGGTACGAATAAGGTAACTGACCCGGGTCAGCTGGAGCCAGCTTCCTGGTGGGTGTTGTCATGTAGATAGAAAATATAGTTATAAAGAAACAATGGTTCCTTTTCTCAGCCTCACCCAAACCTCTTTATCTTTCAGCTACACTCAACACCACAATTTCTCACTCACTCAAATCGTCTGTCAGTTCAATCAAGCCCACTAAGCTGTAGTTAAGCCTTAACATCACAAAGCCTGACTGAGGGCTACAACCAAGCCTCGACAACCCTCCCCAGTGTGGGGAGTGATGTACAGGAAGCCACTATTGTCTTGTAGGGAAGAGGGGAGTCGCGTGCTCCCCAACGAGGGGTTCCGGGAATGGCTGGTAATTAGAGAAGGGACAGGAAAGCGGTAACGAGCCAACCACCATTGCCAGGCAGTCATCTGGCCGGTAACTACCCGTTGGGAGGCGGGGATGTGGCCAGACGACAGCCCGCAACAGTCGTTTGGCACTTACGACCCGTCCTGGTACAGCGGTACCATTTAAACACACACACACACACACACACACACACACACACACACACACACACACACACACACACACACACACACACACACACACACACACTGTGTGTGTGTCGTGAGTATATCAGGAACAACTATCTTGAGGTTATCTTGAGATGATTTCGGGGCTTAGCGTCCTCGCGGTCCGGTCCTCGACCAGGCCTCCTTTTTGTTACACTGGTGTAGTAGTAGTAGTAGTGTTGATGAATGACTGGTATAGCAGTAATGTTGATAAACGGGCAGGTTACATGTTCAGTACATGTCTTACCACTACATATATTCCAATATGCAAGGCGATAAAATAATTTTAAGAAATATTAGCAATTATATTTTGCTGTGTACTTGGTATCAGTATTATAGATTATATTATATTATAGACTAAATATATTACATGTGTGTGTGTACAATAATGACGTATTTTATATCAATAATCAAGAGACTATAATTGTCTCCTGTATCTTGGGTCTGTATCCTGCATCAAATGTGTTTCATTATCCACTGTACTCTTCAGCTTACTAATCTGTAACTTACTAAAGACATGTTTTGACCGCAGGTGAGCGTACGAGGCATTCCCCGGCCCCTACACCAGGCTTGTCATACTGCAAAACACTTAATTATCACATAAGTTCTCTGAAACTGAAGTATATTATGAAGTATAAACAGAAAAAAAACGGCTGCCACTTATGCTTCCCACTAACTGGTTTGACTGAGTAATGTGATCCACATAACTATTATGGATGGTCTTAGTGTTTCGTCCAGACGACGAGATGCCGTGTCGTAGGCAAAGAGGAAGAAAAAAAAATCAGCTGAGTGGGCTACATTGCTCGGTTTCCTCAACGACTACACTTTTTTGGTCCAACAAAAGTACTGTTAAGTTTCAAGGAGCTACACAATCTTCCCGGCTTGGCACCTTATTTTGATAATTACTCAATGTTTTGAAGTCGGTCAACGAGGCGTTCTCGAGGCGCTCAACCTAAACCTTGAGGCATAAAGGAAATGGGAATTGTTATACTAAATGATTTTATTTTATTGCAGACAGTCCATAAGTCTCAAGTATTAATTGATAGCATGGAGTGAGTTATGTATCCTATCCACCCCCGTCAAACCCCACCCTCTTCAACTTCTCTCCTTCAACCTCAGTTCCCCCCACCCCCTCTAACCTCACCCCCTCTACTCTTCCCCCGACCTCCTCCCCCCCCCCCCGACAGCATTCACGAGCTCAAATAGCATCACTTGCCAAATGACGTATCTGGTAAACTACTTGTATGGAAGTCACGTGACCGCTGGTGGGCAAAGAGGAGGCTATTTGCCTTAATGGTGTCCGGCCATTTCTGGGTCGTTAAGAACTGCTGTTTGGGGAGGGTGGTAGGTAGGGGGGGGACCAGCTGATTGGGGTGGAAGAGGGAGGGTGTGGTGGATAGGAGGGGGCTGGTGATTGGGGAAGAGGAAGGGTGTGGTGGGAAACGAGGGGGGGGTAGAGGGAGGGTGTGGTAAGAAAGGGGGGGGGGCTGGTGATTGAGGGATTGAGGGAGGGTGTGGTAGGAAGGGGGGCTGGTGATTGGGGGGAAGAGGGATCGTGTGGTGGGTAGGAAAACTAGGGAAGACGGAGGGTGTGGTGGGGGAAAGTCTGCTTCAGTGTCGGATATAAGCACAAGAATATTCTATACCTGTGTGTGTTACGGGGCTCACCATAGCCTGTGCTACCTGGAACTTGATGGTCAGAGTAGCTGAATCTAAAACAACAACATCTACACGTGTGAACTATATGGACAAAGGTAGAGAGATGCCGCCGCCGCGAGGTATTGCCTCGTCAAGAGTTGCTGGGTGGAATAATCTCCAGGTGGTGGTGGTGGTGGTGGGATCTTGCGCTAAAACCACAGAAGATTAAAGAAAAACATACATTGGTTTATATCATAATTTGTTGGCGTTTTCTTGTGTGTTAAGGCAACAATTCTGCTTAGTTGTGTAACCATGTTTTCTTCTTGAAGTAAACAAATAGCAAGCAAAAGCTTGAAATAAACAAACTGTTTACGCCCATTCCATAAGGATCCTACATTTAATTAAACTTACAGGCATCAAAATTATAATAGAAACATGTATTTACAAACAGTAGTGAAGCTTTACCACAAAGAGCACAGATATGTGCGCCTTTACCCAACTACTTTAGGAGTATGCATCACCGGCTTGGAACCCACACCGGTAAAAGGCGAAAACAAAACAGGGGTCCGACTCCACCCCCTACAAACACGCCTGTGGTCTACTGTTCGAGCCTCCTAGAACCCAGGTGTATGACAAACGATTTAGTTCAGAGACTCCTTGCTGAAGTGAGGGGAAGACTGAGGGGGTCTGGACCTCGCTACACTGAAAGGAATATTCGACGGGAACGACATTATGGGAATGCATAAAATCCTAAGATAAGTTAATGAAGAAGACACAAGAAATATCCCACGGAACACCACGACAATAAGACCCGCTGTCTCCACGACCCAGAGTGTCACAGGTGTGCACGTCACAGGTGTGTGTGTGTCACAGGTGAGTCAGGTGTATCACTAGGGGGGGTTAAAAGTAGTAATTTATGTTCAGTTTATATACAATATAAGAAAACTTTATTATCGGCCCTGGAAGCCCATCTTAGTAAACAGGAATAATCGAAAACCATATTCAACATTTTTTATATTTTTCTTCCCTGAAAAAATAAGCAGACGAGAATTTCTCTAAAATAGGTTTAGCAAAAGCCGAGCCGTCAACTAAGTTCTTGGGAGCCGCTTGAGTGACTCCTGATCCAATATTTTGCCCGGCGCCGGCTTAATTACACAAAATCTCGGAGAGTTTTGTGCCTGATCGAATCCCGTCTGGCCAACGACATCCACCAGAACTCCCGTCTGGCCAACGACATCCACCAGAACTCCCGTCTGGCCAACGACATCCACCAGAGCTCCCGTCTGGCCAGCGACATCCACCATAACCGACGTGTTTGGCTCACAACGTTCGACAAGAACAACTACGTGCTCAAAAACACGCCATCCATCTGCTGCTGACTGATGATGCTATTGCTGGGAGATTGACGATGCTGCTGCTGTTGCTTCTTCTGTTGTCGCGTCTGTTGGTTGCTCAAGGGTTGGTAAGGGGGAAGGGAAGAGTGTAAGAACCTAAACACCCAACCTAACCTACGCTCAGCTTTAATATATAATAATAGCACTCTAAGAACAAACATATTGTTTAATACTGGGTACGTTATCATTGATAAATGCGTATTCATGAACGCAGATATGTATGATAAATGCGTGTTTAACGAGCCCGCCCTGGGGACACCTTGATATCAACAGAACCAAAACCTTATCCTAAATAAAGATCAAATTATATATTAATATTAATTTATGTTTGAGAAAATGCTGTTATAATACACAATGCGTTAACAAGGTGATCGCATCTCGGGGGGTCGGCCGCTGCTTGGACGAGCATGACCTGAGGGACCTCTTATAATGTTGAGTGAATACCCACCAATCCGCCATGATCCAGGTAAGAGGTCTGGCTCTAGTGAAATCGGAAGTGCTCAGTTCATCCTGTACTTGATAATTGTTTACAAAACCCACTAATTATATCATAGACTAATGTGGTTGAATAGTTCTTCAAATTACCTAAGGCGTTAAATGATTAAATCCACAAGGGCCGTGACAAGGGTTCGAACCTACGTCCGAGAGGATCCTTAGTTGTCTATTCTGTTGTCTATGAAGCGGCATAGTGTAATAGAGTGTCCCTGTCGAAGGCTTATTTCTGACATCTTGTATTTTAGGCCCGTGTGCCAGCTTAGAAGATATTTTTGAACACTATATCACTGCTATTTTTGTCGTCAAGGTGTTGGCTATATGATCACATGTATGGGCCTCTCTGTGGTTCTCTAAACCCATGTTGTCTAGTGAGGGGGGGGGGGGGAAATGAGACGGTGTGGGATGAAGAGATGTAGGGGAGGGGTTGAAAGGGTTCATATGTTGTGTGAAGGAGGGGAGATGTAAGGGACGGAGAGGGGAAGGAGGATGACGAAGTGGAGTGTTGAGAGGATAAGACAATGGGGCAGGAGGGGGGGGTAAGATAAGGGAGGGAGGGAGGGAGGGATTGTGTAATTAGAGAAGTTTAACAACATTGTCACAGGCGGTGGTGGTGATACCCGACCCAGCTCCCCAACACTCCCACGAGGGGAGGGGGCTCTTACCTCGCCCTGGGTGGCACGGAAGAGAGGGGCTGGCTGCGAGTGTGGGAGGAGTGTTTGGCTGGGGGAGTGTTTGAGGAAGTAGAATGGGGGAGAGGAAGAGATTGATGGAGAGAGGGAGAGTGAAAAAGTAGTGAGAGAGAGAGGGGGAGGGAGAGAGAGAGAGAGAGAGTGGGGGAGGGGGGAGAGGGTGAAAGTGAGTGCGAGAGACACGAAGATTTTTCGCAGTTTAAGAGCTCAGGCGACCATTGAAAATTGAAAAAGTTGTGCGATGACTTGAACGCAGAAGGAGTAGTGGGAGGCGGAGGAGGGGGACTTAGGAGGGGTAGAGAGGGAGAAGGACCCGCCTCCTGCAGATGGTGGCACTCTGTCCACCACTCCGATGGGGGAAAACTTTTTTTGCACTTCTTCAGCTGTCACTTCCTTCTCAACCCTTTTCTCCTTGTGGCGGGAACAGGAAACTATACCAAAAACTACGCAAGGAGGACTGGAACGTGTTGGGTACCGAGGAGCACGTCGCCAGGAGGACGAAGAGGAAGATCCCACTGCCTGGCAAACTCGTCTTGAGTCCTAGCAACCCGGCATCCCTTGGAAATTAGAATTTAATTGAATTTTCGGCTTGAGGGTGCGTGAGTCCGAGGAAGGCAGCCGGCCCGTCAACTACGTTCCCTGGCTGCTTTCTCTCTCTCTCTCTCTCTCTCTCTCTCTCTCTCTCTCTCTCTCTCTCTCTCTCTCTCTCTCTCTCTCTCTCTCTCTCTCTCTCTCTCTCTCTCTCTCTCTCTCTCTCTCTCTCTCTCTCTCTCTCTCTCTCTCTCTCTCTCTATTTCTTTGTTTCTTTCACTTTTTATCTGAAAATTTTATTTTATGAAGCACTGAAAAACACAGCTAAAACCTTTACAGAAAAAATAACCTCTATTTTAATGTTTTAAGACTACTGTAGACTGTATAATGTAGAGACTATACACTGTAGATGCTAATATTTCTTAAAGTGGAGCGCCCTGACTGGTCTATAGCGCTCCCCTACCTCCGATGTGTCATCTTGGAAAGTTGTGTTAGACTAGCCACAAGCGTCTGGCCTCCAGCCTCAGACAGACAGACATTTACTTATAGATATACACATGTCTACATACTGTAGTCCCTCAGTTGATGACCTTTAGTTTTTTGCTCCTCTATTTTTGTCCAATGAATTATAATAATCCCTTCAATTTACAATATTTAAATCTGATTTACGTCCAGGTTTTTAACGTACATGTGTGAAATCAACAATAACAATTACAAAACTTATTTTGTGTGCGCGTTGACATTCTCGGGTCGCGGCTGGAGCACCGGACCTTAAGCGACCTCCTGCCAATGTTTACGTTTGCATCGCGGCTGAACCCGTCCGCGTTGCTCCCAGTTATTTTGCTCGTACAACTGTAGAACTTTAGCAACTGGTGGCAACCATGAGTATAAAACGTTCATCAGGTGGTAGTGGTTCCTCGTATCCAAAGAGAATCTGGGAAAACGACAGTTTAGAGAAGAAAATTAAAGTGTAAAACTGTAATTGAAGGATGAAAACAGTCTGCACACCTTGCCTGCACTGTCATTGGTTAAGATCATTGACTGTATGTCGTCCCTAAATCATCAACATTGACAACATAAGAGTAAGTGCCAAATGTTCTTCAAGTTCTTTAATAAGTTGTGAAAGGCACATTCGATGTTTTTATTGATAAATTTGCCGAGTGTTTGGTTTAAAGATCATGTAGATAAGAATTTACTCGTTATAGATTCTTGGTGATTAAGCGTAGAACGTTATGCCGCTATTTGAGTACTTATAGTTTGGCGAGAGTTCAAAGGTGTTAAAGTTGACAGCCAGCAATGGATGGTTTTTAGAACTTTAAGTGTCATTGTAACCTGCAGGGCATCAAGATGACGAGTGAAGCGGTGAGTGTGTATAAGGAGGCAGCCAACCGTTCTCTCGGGAGATGAAAAGGCAGACAATCCTGCGTCAACACACACTCAGCTGCTGCCTCTCGTAAGTACAACTCTATTGCTCTATTGTACAAGTACTGTGTGCTAGAATGTGACATTTTTTTCCGAAAAACATATCCACACATCCTATTGAATCTTATGAGAACATAGGTTTAGATTTGTCGTTTATATATTCAACAGTAAACTTGGCGATCGTTGAGGGGGTTTGAACCCAGGCAGCCGGGGGGGGGGGGGGTAACAGTCCAGTACTATGCCCACCTGTTGTTTTAGATTCAGCTACTGGGAACAAAACGTTCCAAGTAGCACGGGCTATGGTGAGCCCGTAGTGGACTTACCTGGCACAAGAGTGGGGCTGTAACGGTATGCCCACCTTACTGTTGTTGTTGTTGTTTAAGATTCGCTGCTCAGAACGATAAGTTCCAGTAGCACGGGCTATGGTGAGCCCGTAAACCCCCCCCCCTCCCGACCTTACTAACGATAGAGTTATAAGTAATGGCTGGTGGTGAGGCGTACATGCACCCAGTACCCTCATACACTCGTGGAGACGGCGTAGTAATTTCTCCCCGTCTGTTTTTAATTAACATACTTAGGAACGTTGGCAATTATGCAGCTAACCTAGACTATATGAAGGGGCTACACTGTGTGTCAAGATGCTAAAATACCCAGCTTGTCATACAGGGTCATGTGACCCTATATGACACTGGCAAACTATTGCTGAATTGTGAGGATTTCCTCAAGAACACGAGAATTAATAAAGTGATTTCAAAGCTCCAGGTACCTGATACTGCCAGGTCTGAAGGTCTGAAGGGCTCCAGGTACCTGATACCGGCAGGTCTGAAGGGCTCCACGTACCTCATACCAGCAGATCTGAAGGGCTCCAGGTACCTCATATCGGCAGGTCTGAAGGGCTCCACGTACCTCATACCAGCAGATCTGAAGGGCTCCACGTACCTCATACCGGCAGGTCTGAAGGGCTCCACGTACCTCATACCAGCAGATCTGAAGGGCTCCAGGTACCTCATACCAGCAGATCTAAAGGGACTAATAACTGGGCATTCAATACTGTAGTGTGGGAGATCATGCCGCAGTTCCTGCTCACAGAGTTTGCACCTGGAGTGGTCAGGATTGGGAGATCCGTCACCTGTAGCCACCTGCCACAGGTGACGGTACCCTTGGGAATTACACTGTAGCACAGTTAAATGCGTTTGTGTTAGTGATGCCCAGGCTGGAAGTAGGGTGAAGTGAGTTCTTGTGGTGCCCCAAACTGGTCCTAGCGGGCAAGGAGATTGGGTCGCAGTGCATTAATTCCAGGCTCCAACTGCTCAGTAACGCACGGCCAAATTAGTAATTAACACGCCTGAATTGTCACGGGGAACAGTGGTAGAGGGACGGTTGAAGGATGGGGAGAGGGACCTTGGGTGGGAGAAAGTGCCAGTGTTTGGGTGGGAGACAGTGCCAGTGTTTGGGTGGGAGAAAGTGCCAGTGTTTGGGTGGGAGAAAGTGCCAGTGTTTGGGTGGGAGAAAGTGCCAGTGTTTGGGTGGGAGACAGTGCCAGTGTTTGGGTGGGAGAAAGTGCCAGTGTTTGGGTGAGGGGCAAAACAAGTGTTTGTATGATTCAGTGTCTCTGCGTGGTTGTCTTTCCCTACGTGGTTGTTTTTTCATTGCATGGTTGCCTCTTACGGTACATGGTTGTTTCTCACTGGTTTATTATCGCTCTCCCTACATGGTTCTCTCCTCTCTATACATGGTTGTCTCTCTGCTTAGTTGTTTCTCACCTGCATGGCTTGTCTCTCCCTTCATGGTTGTCTCTCACCCTACATGGGTGTACCTCACACTGCCTGGTTGTCTCACCCTACATTTATATACCCATGTTACTAGGGTGAACTGTGTCTTGTGGCTAGATAAGAGACGCCGTCGACGCCCGAGGGTCAATAAGTCACTGTAATGGTCTTTGGTTCACTGTGTTGGGCAGGAGCAGAGGGGAGGAGTGGGGGGCTGTGGCGGTGTGCACGCTGGCGATAACTGTGGGAGGGGAGGGAGGAAGAGGAAGGGTGCGAAGGAAGGGGGTGAGAAGCTGGAGGCTGGGAAAGGGGGGAGAGTAAAGGGACGGGGATGGGCAGGGGGTTGAGACATGGACTCGGAATGTTAGTTTTTCCTTCTTTTAAACAGCTTCCAAATTTCACTCTCAGGCAGCTCCAGTACCACGGTGACTTGAATGCCACCATTGTCATGCAGTGGCATTACCAGGGTTGTATGATCGGGCATGACCAGCTGGTATGGCCGAGCAGTAGTATGATTGAACAGTGGCATGATCAAACAGTGGTATGACCAAGCAGTATGGCCGAGCAGTGGCATGGCCGAGCAGTAATAAACCTGGCCTAACTCCACCCGCAGGACGGAGTCCGGGAGCCTACCTCCACAGTGAAGAACAACATCAGTAACACAATAAACAAGACGAAACCGAAGAAATCCAACAAATTGCTCCAATAAATAAAACATATATCTCTGAGCAATATGTGAAGCATGTACATTATTAGAGAAAATCTATACTGACGGCTCTGTTGACCTCACTCTTGGCAGGGATAAAGCTCCATACAGGAGTGAATGTAGCAACAGAGCCATCTTATCTCATCTCAAGATAAAGATGGCTCTCTTGACCTTACTCTTGGCAGGGATGAAGCTCCATGCAATCACAGGGATACACATACCTTTACCAAATAAAGTAAGATAAAATATTGTGCTGAGAACTATGCTCTCGACTCAAGCTGAATACATTGTCATTAATGTGGGATTAAGCTACACAGAAGGGAGAGGAAAGGACAGGAACTATCAGGGGAAAGCGCCAAGCCATTACGACTATATAGCCCTGGGAAGGGGTCAGGATTTGTGTTTGGGATGAGACGGGAAGGAAGGAATGGTGCCCAACCACTTGGACGGTCGGGGATTGAACGCCGACCTGCATGAAGTGAGACCGTGGCTCTACCTTCCAGCCCAAGACAGAAGGGAGAACAGGAGGAACTTTCCTTCACTAACTTAAGATATTCAGGTTCTTGGGAATGTGGAGGTGGAAAAAGGGGCAGTCGGTGAAATCAACAGAGCTGTAGAAACCTTATCCAACCTACGAAGAATGTTCCTGTAGATCTGTGTCAGAATTTGTGGGGGATAAGTCAACATGTTGGGCGGTGACGGTGCAAGGGAGGGAGGACTACGCTGAGGACTCCTGCCTTAAGACCTACCAACCAGAGGTATCTTCAAGCAAGATTATTGTGACAGGGAAGATGAAGAAAGGACAGAAGAGCCAGTCGAGGAATATGTACGCTGGTACAATGCCATTGATAATGATAAGAGCAACAACTATACACGATATTCATTCACTTAGACTGGCCAGTCTAGACTGGACAGAAGAGCAAGTCGAGGAATATGTACGCTGGTACAATGCCATTGATAATGATAAGAGCAGCAACTATAGACGATATCCATCCACTTAGACTGGTCAGTCTAAGTGGATGGATATCGAAAGAAAGAAACTGGGAACATCCCGGGTCGTCCTTGGGGACAGGGACTCCTTCACCATCGCTCACTCCCTTGATAGTCCCATGTTGGAGTTGGAAAACATGACTTTCTAGATCGATTAGCCAATGAGGCTTGCAGGAAAGTAAACACTGATTATGACTTTGGACCATCTAATGCAATTATTAGAAACATACAAATTAAAGAAATTAATTCAGATTTAGAAGAACTAAGAAATGCCCAGACCTGAAAGCTGCAGTATTAAAAACTAGGACAACTTTTGTAATAATAGGTGTTTGTATGGTCAGCACAGTAACCGGACCAGGCAGTGTGATGTAGTCATTGCGCAAATTCACCTTGGCTATAGACACATCTGGCAGGTTAGTGAGGCTGAGCCCCTACCAGAATACTCAGATTGCAAACTTTGTGACAAACCTTTAATGCATTCACTAGAACACTATATTGTTGAATGTGAAACCCTAAAGGACTTTAGACCTCCTGGCCTCTTGTACCACCAACTGTGTAACTATTTTATTGACTTAGGTGTTCTGGACGACATTCTAACAATTTATCCAAAATTTGCTTGTCCATTTTAAAGAATGAAGAACAATTTTGATCTATATTACTTCTACGCTGCATCACTTATGAACCCATCCCTGCCCTTGTGTGGCAGTGCACAGTAGAAAGTTATATTTACATATCCATACATTAAAACATTGATTATAACCATGATATATATGAACTTCCGCCTACAGTTTAGACCTATTGTCTTATGTATGACCCTCTGTCCTGTGTGACAGTGAATACCAGCATTATCCTCACTTCAATAAGACTTAATTGATATCCTCAGATTAGGCAAAATTGAAATTAATTGTGTCAATAAAGATGTTAATAATAATAATAATTGATAGTTGAGGCAGTTGGTACCCACACGAGCCACGTCCTCTCCCCCCCCCCCCAGCAGGAGGCCGGGGCCGTGGTCAGGGCGACCGCAGGGCCGACCAGTCAAAGGTCGTGTGCAGGCTGCAGTCAATAAAACAAAGTGACACCAGTCCTCACCTGAATTAGTCTCCCCTCCGCCCCAACACGCGGGTAATAATAGCCGGGCATTATGGTGGCGAGTCACGTGGCTCAGGGGGTAATTACTAGTAATTAGCTTGAGTCCGCGGCGGTAGTTGAGACACCGGAAGCTGTCAGAGGGAAACACGTCACGAAACTTGTGGTGTTCCTGTTGTGGCCAGCACGTGTGTGGAGGCTGCCCGCTCCACAATTATGATACGTGTGTGTGTGAGTGTAATTACCTAAGTGTAATTACCTAGGTGTAGTTACAGGAGGAGAGCTACGCTCGTGGAGTACTTCCCAGTACTCTTTGTCTTGGAACACTTTGAAACTACTGATAGTTTTGGCCTCCACCACCACCTCACTTAACTCTGTTTGAATAAGAAAACTTTCTAATATTTTTTCGGCACCTTTGTTTCCTTAGCTTGAATCTGTGTCTTCTTGAAGGTGATGGTTTCAGGAATTGTTCTTTGT